ACATGATCTTCTGTTGTCCCAGGGACGAAGCCTATTGAAAATGGTTAAGATCGGTCCATTATTTCACCTAGCCCCCATACAACTGAACCCCTGAATAGGGCTTGTAAACCTCGTAATCAAACTACAGGTCGCATTTTTTATGATAATTCAATGAAATTTGGCACATGATATTCTATGGTACCGCAGACAAAGCCTTCAACAATAAATGGCTTAAGTATATCTGAGGCAAGGTACAATTCAACTACAATGCTTTATTATGAAAACAAAATCACATTTCATTTTTGTAACAGGTGTAGCGTATTATATGGTCGGCCTCGCCCGACTATAATTTCTTACTTGTTTTCTGATAACGCTGGTGTTTTCTGCTTTACGGCTAATGTAATGCCAATTCTACGAAGAGCTCTCCGGGCGGCCCATTTACTTAAGGGCATATTTATGACGCCAGGAGCCTGTTTTTTGTGTTTTTACCTGTTTGGATGTCAATAAACGCTTCGTAGTTCTGGCATCTCTCTCCGAAAGCAAGCACGATCGACCTTTCTTAACTTCTGGTCTGCTTATATTTTTTCTTTTTCGCACTTATAGCACTCTTCGGTGGCAAATTCCTAACTTCTTGGCAATTTGACGAGCACAGTAATTATTTTTTGTCATTTCGACCATTTGGTTTTCCAATAAACTTGATATTTTTCTTATTAAAACTAGAAAATTAAAATATTTGCAAAAAATTACAAATATGACTCAAAAATGGTAACTGTTTGTTTTGATGCTTTCTTCAAAGGTAAATCAAGTAGCAGTACTCTAATTCATTGCTATTTTTAAATTTATTTGTGTTGCTACATTAATAAAATTTAAACGTGCAAAAGTGGATACATCAACTTTTTTAATAAAATTGGCAAAAACTTGAGATAAAGTTTCAATATTCGCGAATTTTCTATTGCTTTATTTTCTTATTCTTCTATTGCTTATTTTAAATCAAATATCTAATTTTTTTTAATATTTTCTGGATTTTATTGGGTTTTTAATATAAACTTGATTGATATGTATCCAGATATGCTCGCCACTTCATCGCCAAATAATATACAGAAATCGCCAAAAATCGATTTTTAAACGATGAACAGCAGACTTTGTCGAAAGGGAATTTCATTGTTAGGACAATTATGAGACTACTCTGCCCATTGGCGGAGGACAATTTGTTTTTTTATTCTTATAGTCTTCTTTAGACATAAAGGAGAATAGTTTGCACCTTTTCTAAAGTAACATATAAAATGGCTTACGAATTATATCCGATAAATGTGCACAATATCTGAGGATAATTATTTTTGTAACTTTATCAGACAATTAACCGAAATATATAAATTTCCTACAGATATTTAACAGAATAGACTGCACATTTTCTGATATTTTTTGCTCGGCCATTTTGTTCCCACTTTCAGTACTTTTTGAAGAAAACTTTGCGACAAATCTGCACATTATCTAAATTAAATTTTGTTTTTTTTTATAAGAAAACATGCACAAACTTGTTTATATTGTGAAATTCGCCAACAGTATTTTAAAAGGGGATTTAATTTTTATTTTTTTATTTTCTCAGTTAGTCTTTGCAAATCAAGTAAACAACATCTACATATGTGATAATTATTGTTTAATCTTTAATCTTTTTATAATACATTGAAATTAGAAAGAAGATACATAATTTCTTATGGTTTAATTATATTATTTTAAATATGATGAATACAATTTTCGTATATAATATGTAAGAAGTGTGGTTAAATTTTATCAATTTTAAAAATAATCTATAAGATTCTATCATTTATTTATTTATGCAACCTTATGAAGTCATGAAATACACATGAAAAATGGAAGCTTATAAATTATTATTAAATTTAATAAAATTAAACCATAATAAATTATTTATATGAAAATAGTTTTCAACAGACGTTGATGAGAATAGTCAGGCCAATTTCTTATAATTGATCAGACTTTAGTACGAACTGTCGGACATTTTATCAGACATTTATCCGAAATCTATCAGACTTTCTTATATTTGATCAGACTTTTATATGAACTGTCGTTTATTTTATCAGTCATTTGTACGACATCAATCAGACTTTCTTATAATTGATCAGTCTTTTGTACGAACTGTCGAAAGAATGTCAGAATGTCAGGTATCCGACATTTGTCCGACTTCAATCAGATTTGTCAAAATTCCTTCAGAATTTCCCGAGGAATTTACATCAGATTTCGTAGCGAATTCTGACCGACAACTCTGCACATGTTTCCTTAGACAAAGAGTTCCGAATTCTGATGAAATTTCCATACGATTTTCCTAACGAATTTGGATACGAAATCGGCAATTTGTGCAGACAGTCGGTACGAATTCGGCAAATACTGTTTAGCGGGATACTAAAAAAATAACAATAAAATAGAATTGTCATCAAATTCTAGGCCACTATCGGGCCTGTTGTGCGCTCCTTATCATGAAAAAGAAAAAAAGGAACTGAATGAATTATTATCGGGCCTGTTGTGCACTCCTTATCATGAAAAAGAAAAAAAAAAAAAAAAGGAACTAAATGAATTATTTTTCAGTGTTCATAAACTCAGTTTCCTGAACGTAATTCCTAAGAATCTTCCAATCAGTGTTAGTCAGGAATGTTATTTCCAGAATAACATCACTTCCAAGATACTTGGATCTAACTTCGACGAATGCCTGGCAGTGGCAAAGAAAGTGCTCCAGAGTTTCACTGTCCTCTCCACATGCTCTACTTGCTCTCATCAGGGTCACCCCATAGGATCTCTGTGGTTCTACCCACTGTTTCATTATTCCAAGAGGCCTTATGGGATTCTCTCATCCATATTTTTAGTTCAGCTTTTGTTGCGTCGAATGGTTTCGCGTTTGTCAGGTTAACTGCCTATTACATTCGCCCTTTCGTTACCGACTACTCCCGAGTGGGCTGCTACCCATATGATGTGAACCTTACCTCTGGGAGAGTATTCATTTAAAGCTTTCTTACAATCTAATACGGTCTTAGATTTAGTTCTATCGCCTAATATCGCCCTAATTGCCTTCTGTCTATCAGTAAATGTATTAAGCGCTGTTGGCGCCATATTTATTCTAATCCAATTTACGTATTCCGTTATTGCTCGTACTTCTGCCTGGAAGCTTGTATTATGATTTGGTAAACGATAGTATATTTCTATTTCTGAGTCCTCAATATAGAACCCCAGCCCCACTTTGTACCCCAATGTAGAGCCATCCGTGTAACAACGGATTCCTACTGGTATTAGCTCTAATTTTCCGCTTGGCCACTACATTCTATCTGGGATCAGCGTTTCAAAGTTTCCGACATATTCTGTGTCTGGTATACGATCAGGCACGTCCGATGATTGTATATAACCTTCCAATGTGTCCAGTATACATTGATGACGTGTCCTATAACCGCTTTTGGCTAGTTCGCCTAAAGTAAAGAGCCGTTCGGTTGTAAGCGCCGCCTCATATCTTAAATATGTTTCAATGGGTGGAATATCTAGCAACGTTTCCAGAGCCTTGGTTGAAGTAGTACGCACCACTTATACCCAAGCAGCATGTACGCTGAACTTCCTGTAGTCCACCAGATTATTTAAGCATAAGCTAGAATTGGTCTAATTGCACTTTTATAAAGCCAATTTGTCATAGTAGGACTAAGACCCTATAGTTCTCCTATATATCGCCCAGCACCGATGTGCCTTGTTGATCCTATCCTCTATGTGATGTCTCCATTTTAATTTCCGGTCGAGGATTACACCTAAGTACTTAACTTTGTCTGTCACTGGTATCTTCTTGCCAAGGTTCAGTATACGTAGAAATTTTTGTCTTTCTTGTGAAAAGACAGATTTCCGTTTTTGCCGGGTTAACATTGAGGCCTCTGGGTTGAGCCCAGCTCAAGGCCGTATTCAGAGCCTCCTCAGCTCTTCTACACAAGTAATTTGGATCCTTTCCCTTTAAAAGTATTATGACAAAATGCCACCCTGTGGTATACCGCGAAATACTTTTTTCCTGATAGTTATGTCGTACTTCTCGCAGTTACGGAGCACCCGAATTTGAATTTTCGAACAAATCCCGTCATTTTGTTTTGATATAACGACAGTAATGTTAATTTCCTTCAAATTTAAACATTAAAAATACAAAATTACAACTGTAAAAGTATAAATTTGTTTATTAAATGCCACTAATTTTAAAATTATAATTTGTTTTGTTTTTATTTCGAAATGAAAAGTCACTTTATCGATGAAAACATTCAACTTAAATGGATAGCCTATAGTTATATATGCTTATCCTAGACACAATGCAGTGTTGTATAAACAAATCTTGTTCGAAAAAATACATTTTCGACATGTTTTAAATCAAATCTAGAAGATTAAGTAGATTTGGATTTGTCAAAACTGTTTAGCAAATCTACATGATTTCAACTAGTTTTGTCCAAATCCACTAGATTTGCTCAAAACGCGTCAGTGGAAACATAGCATTAAGTAATATTTAAATTTTTCTAATAAAAATGGAAGAAATATTTTAAGAATGAATGTGAGGGTTGCCTTTTTATGAATTATGTATATAAGAGTGTGTGCCAATCGGTAACAATTTACTTGAAAATGTAAATTTTTGATAGATATGAGGTGAATAAAATATTACTAGCTCATACAGCTACATAAATTTTTGACAAATGAAAAGAAAATTTTGAAAATCCAAAAAATAAAATATTTTAAAATCATTTCAATAATAAAAAAATCAACAAAAGAGTTTCCTTTATTAAAATAAATGCAGATTTTCTTGAGAAATTAGTGAAAATTGCCAAAATTTCATGTAATCAAAAAAAATTCGTTTAGCACAGCAAAAGTGATAATATTTTCCACCATAAGAAAATTTTATTTTATTTTTACTTTGCTACCGTTTGGCACACAGCCTAACTAAAATTATACATTATTTTATTGCAAATGATTTTTTATTGATTATGTATCGCACATTTTTTCAGCCATTCCATAGAGGAAGTTATCTTATAGATTTCATATGTGATCAATTAAAAATTAAGGAGAAGGACTACTTCGGTTTACGATATGTGGATATATCTAAACAAAGGGTATGTAAATTAAAGAAAAAAATAACTATATAAATGAAACTATCAATGTTGGAAGCCGTTATCGCTAAAATACCTTTTCGGCACTACTACCGTTACCGCTAAAACAAAGATACCAAAATAAGCCAAAATACCAATAACAATACCGGAATTGGTCAAAATACAGATACCGCTAAAATACCTATGCTAGAGTATAGACTAGACTTATTCTATAGACTAAACTATATTCTAGACTGTAGACTAGACTATAAATTAGACTGTAAACAAAACTATTCCATAGTTTTAATGACTATAGTTTAGAATATAGACTATACTATACTATACTATACTATACTACTATACTATACTATACTATACTATACTATACTATACTATACTATACTATACTATACTATACTATACTATACTATACTATACTATACTATACTATACTATACTATACTATACTATACTATACTATACTATACTATACTATACTATACTATACTATACTATACTATACTATACTATACTATACTATACTATACTATACTATACTATACTATACTATACTATACTATACTATACTATACTATATACTATACTATACTATACTATACTATACTATACTATACTATACTATACTATACTATACTATACTATACTATACTATACTATACTATACTATACTATACTATACTATACTATACTATACTATACTATACTATACTATACTATACTATACTATACTATACTATACTATACTATACTATACTATACTATACTATACTATCTATACTATACTATACTATACTATACTATACTATACTACTATATACTATACTATACTATACATACTATACTATACTATACTATACTATACTATACTATACTATACTATACTATACTATACTATAATACTATACTATACTACTATACTATACTATACTATACTATACTATACTATACTATACTATACTATACTATACTATACTATACTATACTATACTATACTATACTATACTATACTATACTATACTATACTATACTATACTATACTATACTATACTATACTATACTATACTATACTATACTATACTATACTATACTATACTATACTATACTATACTATACTATACTATACTATACTATACTATACTATACTATACTATACTATACTATACTATACTATACTAACTATACTATACTATACTATACTATACTATACTATACTATACTATCTATACTATACTATACTATACTATACTATACTATACTATACTATACTATACTATACTATACTATACTATACTATACTATACTATACTATACTATACTATACTATACTATACTATACTATACTATACTATACTATACTATACTATACTATACTATACTATACTATACTATACTATACTATACTACTATACTATACTACATACTATACTATACTATACTATACTATACTATACTATACTATACTATACTATACATACTATACTATACTATACTATACTATACTATACTATACTATACTATACTATAATATATGTAAAAAAGAAATAATATTATTAAAAAAAATCCACTTTCCTTTTATTCGATTAACCGAATAAATTTGAATTATCCGATTATTAACCGGTCAACTTAAAACCCCAAATAATTATTTGTCGAATAAACCGAATAAGACAAAAACCCGAATAATTGAATACTCTAGTTTTTACATTTCCGTTTTTTCTGTTCTTAATTTTTAAATAATAATTAATGTTTTTAAAAAATAATTTTGTACTTATTGTTGTACATATTAAGAGCACTTTATACATACCAAATTTTTTATATACATCGATTAAATATAATAAAAAACAAGTAAGAGTGCTATATTCGGCTGTGCCGAATCTTATACACCCTTCACCATAGTGTATTTAATAAATATCAATTTCATAAAATTTATATTTATTTCATTTTCCCGACTATATCATTATTATTGCAATAGCAAAACAAAATGAACAACAACAGCGCTAAACGAAATAACCACTCAAAAAACAAAATACACAAGGCAGTAAAACCAACAGTATCCAAACATACGAAACTGAATACCTACATCAAGAAACAAAAACAATATACACAACGCAATGAAACCAACAGACATCCAAACATACGAAACTGAATGCACCAAAACAGCTTTCAGTTGTAAACAACAAAATAAATGAAACTAAAACAATAGAGGCAAAAACTATTACAAATAAATTAAAAAGTGAAAAACCAAACAAAAAGTGGTCAACAGAAGAAATATAAATGTTCTTTGATTATTTGGAGGAAGCACCAAGTATAGAAGTACGTTTTTTTAACAAATAAGTGTTTTTTTACAAGCCGCGGAACTGTTACAAAAAAATTAATGTTAGTTGAGGCCATATACATAAATGGAATGTTAGGTATCTACAGACCACTTATAAGTAGGCGAAAGTTTTACATTCAGTCCAAGTTATTTCCTGAGCAACTTCTTCCAAAGATTATTGAAAAAATCAAACAAAAACTTTCATTAATTGTTGACTTCTATCAGCTGTTAAAATGCTTAAATTGCATTGCATTGCAAATATCAAATATGAAAGAAAGAAGCCGCTCACAATCGTTAGCAAAATATTTGCAAGATTAAACTTTTACAATACAAAACGCATCGAACATCGAATACCGCTAATATACAGAAGGCAATGAAACACACAGGCATCCAAACATACGAAACGAAATTCTCAAAAAAACAAAATACACAACGCAATGAAACCAACAGGCATCCAAACATACGTAACTGAATACACCAAGAAACAAAAACAATATACACATTGCAATGAAACTCACAGCCATTCAAACATATGAAACGAAATACTCAATGAATAAGCAGTGTTGTTGTTGTTGCTTATATAAAAGCATAAAAAAAATTTTCTTTTTATGAAATTTTCAGAGGTTGTCTCGGATTTTTGCTCATATCTCCGGAATTTATGGACCGATTTTGCTGATTTTAAATAGCGATCTTCTCGAAAGCATGTCTAACAGAATTATTGAAGATTCGGATCTCGCCGACATCTGGAGTCCTCTAAAAACTGATTTCAACAAACACACAGACGGACAGACAGACGGACATAGCTTAATCAACTCCGCTACCTATAAGGATCCAGAATATATATACTTTATGGGGTCGGAAAATTATATTATAGAAATTACAAACGGAATGACAAACTTATATATACCCTTCTCACGAAGGTGAAGGGTATAAAAATTGAAAAACGTGGAATATTACATAAATTTATGCTTCATTAATATTCGGATTTTTCTTTTTACGAAAAAATTAATCGCTGCAACCGTTCAAAAATTGTGCGAATAATGGACGAATATATATTATGATGTTCAAATAAGATCGTATATCAAATTATTTTAGAAACGGTTTTTTATATAAACAAGTAAGAGTGCTATATTCGTCTGTGCCGAATCTTATATACCCTTCACCACAGTGTATTTAAAAATATCAATTCTATAAAATTTTAATTTATTTCATTTTCCCGTTTATATCATTATTATAGCAATAGCAAAACGAACAACAACAACACAAAAAAAACAAAATACACAAGGTAGTAAAACCAACAGACATCCAAACATACGAAACGAAATACACAAAAAACAAAATAGACAACGCAATGAAACCAACAGACATCCAAACATACGAAACTGAATACACCAAAAAACAAAAACAATATACACAAGGCAATGAAACATTCGAAACGAAAAAAAAGCAAAAACAAAATACACAACGCAATGAAATCAACAGACATCCAAACAAACGAAACTGAATGCACCAAGAAACAAAAACAATATACAAAAGGCAATGAAACACACAGCCATCCAAACACATGAAACGAAATACTAAATGAATAAGCAGTGTTGTTGTTGTTGTTGCGTATATCAAAGCATGAAAAAAATTGTCTTTTTTATGAAATTTTCAGAGGTTGTCTCGGATTTTTGCTCATATCTCCGGTATTTATGGGCCGATTTTGCTGATTTTAAATAGCGATCTTCTCGAAAGCATGTCTAACAGAATTATTGATGATTTGGATCTCGCCGATATATGGGGTCCTCTAAAAACTGATTTCAACAAACACGCAGACGGACAGACAGACAGACAGACAGACAGACGGACAGACAGACGGACATAGCTTAATCAACTCCGCTACCTATAAGGATCCAGAATATATATACTTTATGGGGTCGGAAAATTATATTATAGAAATTACAAACGGAATAACAAACTTATATATACCCTTCACACGAAGGTGAATGGTATAAAAACAATCGGTCGTAAGGAAAAAAACATCTCTAGAAATAAATTTATTTGTATTTTTGCATTATGAAAATGAAAAAATCATATAAAAATATTGGTGAAATATTAAATATGAAGCCAAATACTGTCGGTGATATTGTACAAAGATATAAATATGAAGGCCGCATTAATTTGAAGAAAAACGAGATAGCGTTAAATGCACCTAAAATTGTTTCTGAAGTGAAAGAGTAATTAATAAAACTGTTTCCGAAACAACAATTCGTCGAAAGATTTCAAGTCAAGGATATAATTACCGAGAGTATAGTAAGAAGCCGATAGAAAATAATAAGGATGGAACGTACCGACTAAAATTTGTGAATGAACGCCTCAAAAAAGATTTAATTTGGTGGGACGACGTTATATTTCTTGATAAGAGCGTATCTAATATATTTGAAGTGTCGGAAGAACAATGGTGTGGCGGAAACCAAAATAGTAAAACATAGAGGAGGACATGTGATGGTTTGGGGCTCAATATTATCAAATGGAGTCGCAAACCTAGCTTTTATCGACATTAACATGAACAAAGATTTGTATTTAACTATTTTGAGGAATAATTTAAAGCAATAAATTTACCAAGTTAACGACCCTAAACATCAAAGGCATCTTGTCCTTGAATGGTTGCTTTATAATTGTCCAAAAGTGATTGAAATGCTAGCCCAAT